GCGGGGGTAACGGCCGCGGGAGGCGAGGGGAGGAGGGGGGCGGCGGGCAAGGGGCGGCATTGCGCCTTGAGGAGGGAGGGCAAGGACAGGCTCCGTGTGGGTGGTAGAGGTTTGGGGCTGGTTTTCCTCGAGGGCCCCGGGACTGGGGATGGGAGCTGGTGCAGGACAGAGATGGTGGAGGGCGGGAAAGGAGCAAGGCAGGCGGGCGCTGAAGGAGGTCGGGGGAATACGGGGTTGGGAAAGTGGAGAGAGGAAAACGGGATCTGGAGAGCAAAGAGGGCAGTTGTTCAGGACAGAGAGGGACTGTGGCTGGCAGATTAGGAAGACAAATTGCAAGTGCTTTTTTTTCTGACAGATCTTACAACCGAATGATGTTGGGAAAGGCAGGGGCAAATAGGATAGCTAAAGAGAAGAGAGGATTAAGAAAGGGTTATCAGGCAACAAAGGAAAAATGGACAGATGCAAGGTTTTAGGGATTGAAGAGCATGATAAGAGGTTTAGGGAGGCCAGCATTTTATGAGGCTTGGGAGGAAATGGTGAAGAAATTGGGGAAGAAATGTGTGTGAAATTGAGATCATGGTTATGGAAGAGAATTTTGGCTGCTTTATCGGGGGAATTAGCAAATGCATTTTGGGGGAATGGTTTTAATTAGGGAAAATATGCAGGAGAGAATGGGGAAGTAGGAAATAAGAGAGGCACTGCAGGAATTGTTGGACAGGAAGGGAGCTAGAGATCAAAAGAACAAGTAGCAGCTTGAAAGAACTAGCAAATCCTAGATTACAGGAAAGGATTTATTTGAAGAGAGCGGAAGTACTGAGTGAGTGAACATCAAAACAAATTCACATTTTTGTCTAGATTATCATTTGTATGTGGAATAATATTTTCCCCCAGTGACTTCCTGTAACCTATTGGCACAACCTACACCACTTTAGTGTTTCTCTTTTATCAGTCAGTGATTTCTTCCAACTCTTTTCTCAAATCTCAGCTATTTTGGGACAGCTAGAGTAAACTATCTAGTGGCAGGCACTAGATTTGTATGAGTGATTAATAATAATCAAGGTATTGTAGGCACTTCTGCAAAGGTTAGTCAGGATATGGATTGGAAAGAAAAAGAAATATCAAACTGCTTTAGTGCAGAACTATGTAATCTTTATCTTTCTCTGTTTTTCTCTCTTCACTCTTCTTCCTGCCTTCTGTTGTGCAGTCTTCCTTCTTATTGTGGATCATCCCTATTTAACCAATCCTATCACTGTACTAATGTCTAAAAATAATTTTAAATATTTTGTATGCATAGATACTTTTATAAAAGTTGTTACCAGAGATCTATAGGATGGTGCTTTAGTAGTCATCTCTTGCATAAAAACTGTCTGCCAATCTGAACTTCGAGGTGCTATTACAGTACTGTTGAAAATAATGATTAATAATAACTGTTTAGCAGGTTGTTCAGAGAAGTTAGACACCTTGGTCACTGGAGCTGCTGCTGCTTAGTTGCTACTTAGCAAAATTATAACCGGTGAAAATTCTGCACATTCAAAGAAAGAGATCAGCATTTTCAAGTTAGTTCTGATTTTTACTGTCCCTGCTTTTGCGTGCTGAGTCTGAAGCAACCAAAATTTGTAACAAATCTTGAAAAATTTTGTGAAAGGCCCTACTCAGAGGAGCTGTTTGCTACCAGTTTGCATTGTGCGTAACAAATCTCCTTTGCTCCCTTGAACCCTCATTTATCTCAATTTGAGCTAATGTACTTCAAATTATTTTCCTGGATACACTAGCAAGTTAAATCAAAGTCAGGAGGAAAATCATTCCTTTTTCTAAAAAAAAGTGCTGTATATCATAACAAAAGTTGCTAGTGATCGAATAAAATCTTTCTTGCAGAGAAGATTATATAGAACAAGAATGACATTGGTAAGCAAAACTAGCTAAAGAATATTCACCTTTCTAGAACATTGCACATTTTGCTCATATATATTTTCTGTGTATTTTTAGGTGTATATGCCTTTATAAACTGCAGTTTCTTATAATTACACACACCCAAGCACATTTTTCTGCGAGAAGCAAACAGTAGTTTTTGGAACAACTGAGTAAATGAAGTATATATCTGCTAAAATACCAGAATATATGTGAATTTGTACATCCAAAATACGATTTTAAAAATCATCAATGCAAGTAAAATGTTGACAGTATGTTTTAATCTCTGAGACAGCAGTAGAATTTGATATGTTGATCACCTAGACTTAAAGGTAGTAATAACTTAAGCATAAGAATCTGGTTTTCAGAAAATGAAATACTGTATTATCAATAGCAATAAAAAAATCCCTGAAGACTCATCTATTTTGAGTGAGTGACTGGACATTCCCTTGTTTTTGAAGACAGGTTGCTTGTAAAATGCAATAAACAAGGAGTGAGATATGAATTGAAAATCATCTGTTTTTGTAATGGACTGGCTACCATGTTCATCAGTTAGGTTTTGCAGCATCTATGCCATCATGTGAATAGCTGAGCTCACCCTGTCCATCTCCACCCCCATCCCCATCCTTGTCCCCTTCCCCATCTGCCCCTCGCTGGCCACATTGTTTATGTTTTTGTTTGAATTTATACTCAGCTGTAACAGAGGCTAAATGACTTTCCCAATAAAAATCTCAAGGTCAGGGTTGAGATTAGCTCAAACTGACGGCATGGATTTGCTTGTACCCAGCTGCCTCATAATTCATAGTTATTCAAAGATACAGCCTTTGAGTTGTTGCATGACTTTTCCCTGTGCCATTGTGCCGCCGTTAAGCTGCCCACATAGCCCTGCCCTGGGTGCCCTGCCCTGACTGCAGGTATACTGAACTGTGAAACAGCTACATCATTTCGGTGAAATCTCTCTGGCTCGTGCTACGTATCCAGTACAGTTGTCTTGAGCACTAAAGCAAACAAGGTTCTTAATGTTTTGAGGGACTATGCCTGAGTGATCAGCTTTCCTCTAAGAAAAAGAGGAGTAGTTTTATGAGGCCGTCTTCCTGGACACTATTCAGACAGTATAAATTCAAGGTCCAAAAAATTCAATGTGGTCTACCTCAGAACTAGAGGATGCAGTAACTGTTCTGGGGCTATGTATCATCACCTGCTTCTTCCGTGAGGATCTATACAAAATATATAGCAGAGACCTTCCAGCAAGCATGTAATTACCCCCCAGGAAAGAGCACATAATTACCCCCCAGGAAAGACACAGCTTTATTTCAGCACCATGATTAGGTATCAATAATAGCTCCGCTCTTGAAATCAGAGTATAGGATGACAAGGTGTTTCTTCATCATTAAGGCCAGTGTTCATGAAAAGGGCCCTGCCTCGTGATTCAGAGGATTGAAGCCCTTGGGAGACCTTTAGAAGTACATTGACTTCTCTCATAACTTAGTAGCAATAAGTATATTCCTGTGGAGCCTACTATAGTACACTGGGGTAAGTGTTTGTCATGATCCCAATAAGAAAGGCACTCAGGACTCTGTAAGGTATTGATTAAAATAGCATTTATAGGAGCTAACGAAAAAGAGGATAGCGTAGGAAACCTTGCATCTCTTCAGATGCTGGGGGCCCCGAGTAGTGCAGCGTCAGATGGAACTGTAGTCAGGACATTGCACACATGGAGACCCCATCTGTAGAGGTTTGCTGGCATCTTTAGAGCTCTTACAGGATTTTCTTAG